AGTATATCTTGGATGATCATTCTCCCAATTCAGTCAATTTCAAAATATAAAAGTTACAAAGACGCGATAATTGATTCATAAAGAATAGAAGCAAAAAATTAGAGAACTCAAAACGAAGAAACGGGGCATTTAAGATCGTAAGATGAACATTACAATAGATTAGATTCACATGGCCCTTTATTTAAATCTTTTAGCATTCACCAAATTATATCTTCGTTGAGGAGCAAAAAACACTTACCTTGGTTTAGTACAAGATTGTTTCCATGCATTTACAAAGGGCTGGGAAAATTGAAACCCAAAAGATTATACATGATCTAAATCACAATCAAAATATTAAAAACACAAGTTCTAACATCCAATCAATAAGATCACATTGCAAAAAAAAAAAAAAAAAAAAAAAGAGAGAGAACCACTAAAAGAAGAAGAATCCTCCCAAACTTCACCAATAATTTCATCTGTTCTTCCCAAAAATGATTACAGGTTTGCAAGAAAATATGTCATTTTTTATAAAGTATATAACGATACAAGAACTTGCTTATGAATCAAACAGAAGGCCACGCCCAATTGTTCATTTTAGTCTCAAATGGGGGCAAAACATCACTCCAAAGGATCCCTAAATCAACTTCTACACATGTAGAAGATTTAGGAAGACTTCCCTTTTATTCAAAATAGGGCAACAGCTTTCTTCAAAACACAATCATGCAAAGTTTAAATGGAAGATATTTTTGAAACAACATGCTCTAAGGAAGAAGAAGCAGCAAGGATAATATAGAAAGACTGCAGAAGATTAAGTATTTTTTAGTCATCAAAATTTGCAAAGTTTTATCATGTTCAAGATTGTTCACTTTTTCCAGAAGATGCATATAAGTTAAATAGTCACAGAAGTACCAGCATATAAAATAAAAGCATACAACTGCATAGTTGAAATCATTCACTCGTGCAATAGAGTAAGCGGTGCAACTCAAAATTAGATGCTCATTTCCCCATAGCAATTGAAAATCGAAACAGGATAGCCAATAAGGGTGGCTAAAACAGTATGAGGTGCTACAAACAATTTAGAAAAATTAACCGTGGAATCAATAGTATAAAGGAAAAAAAATCGAACCTTTTTGCAGGGTTCTATATGTTTTCCCTTTCAGCTTCGTGTTGTTTCTGCTGAGGCTTTTTCTCCTCTTCTCCTTCCTCTTGTGAAACCCAGAGTCAAAATCACTTCAAAAATAATCGAGACATTCAAAAGAAAAAAAAAAGAAAAATAAGACAGGCTCGAAAATTCAACAAAATAAGATTACTCAACAAATTATGCAGTAAAAAGAGGAAACAGGCAAAGATGTAAAAGAATTATACATGAGGTCGTTCTCATTGAAAGAGATAGAGAGGGTTGTTTTCATGATAGTGAGTACGCATGAACAACTACAATAAAAGCACGAGCACAAGAAAACAAAAGAAAAAATACGGGAAGCTAAATGTAAATAATACGTAAACAATGTATAATAGAAGCTAAATGAAAAGGAGAACAGATCCAAAGCATGAGAAAGTTATCAGTCTGCAGTTGTTACACTTTTTGTTACACTTTTGTAACACATCCACTATAAGATGATTTAATTACACAAAAGAGACACAATGTGCTCAAAATTACAAAATAGAAAATTGAATTGTTACACTTTTTACCAAAATTAACTTTTGAATGTGTTACTGTAACAAAGTTTTAGCCCCAGAAAAATGAGTACCATTATTGATAAACCAAACTTGGATAAGTTTACTTTTCTGTGCTTGACAACAAGACAAATTGAAAAATATATCATGATCAAAACCTCCAAAATAGCATAAAAGCCCCTTGAATCAAAAGGTCAAAAATTTAAGGCTGACAGCTTTTTATGGAAGAAGTGAATGTTGCCTTCTATGAAATATAAGCAAAGAAAAAGCAGAAAGAGAATTATAGAAAAAGCTATAAAATTAATTGCATGTTACTTATCAACGAAAAGATTACGCACACAAAATGAGAAGTAGGTAAGAGATTGCAATTTAAATGTGGTTGAAGAGAGCTAATGACAACTACAGTAAGGAAAATAACAAACATGGGCACCACCAGCAAGGTTGAGACTATGGATAAGCAGGAAGAGTAACAACAATACATAAAATCTGTGGATAAGTAGGGAGAGCAAATCTCGTTGATAGCCTTGGTGTATCTAATAATGATCTTACTTGGATGGAGGCCCATCCGAATGAGCTCCTCAGCATTTTGAAGAGATCAAAAGATACACATAGATTGGTTGCATCACCAATTTCCTGGCAGCTAGACGTTCCTAGCTAGAACCAAAATCTTAGCAGCAGGGTTCTGAACCTCAAGCTCATTGGCAATAGGAGCAGCATCATTTGTCACAAAATCTTCCATATGATTTATAACCATCTTATTCATACCTGATCACATTGACAGCTTCTATCAATGTCCTTTATTGGAAACTATGTAATATTTCAAAAAATAACTTATGGACCAACAATAGCTAGGATCTCTATCACTCAGGATAAGTGCATTGTAGTGAAAGAGAATAGCTACCACTCACGCCTAGAAAAGAGAGCTCCTTCCCACCCATCCCATCTATTCTTGAAGATAAATGACACTTTGTCATCTGGAAAACACAGAAACATAGCAAAAATTACATGGTGGAAGCATATGACACATCACATTTATTTGTATGTTGCTTGATAAACTCATATCTCTAGGGCATGACTGAACAAACACAACATACAAAATCCAGAAATTAAATTGACTATGAGCATTGTCAGAAACTCAGTCAAGAACAGATAACAGCAATTGAAAACCAGGCCAGACAGAAAGTCAATGGGGTATGTTGTAATTTTACATTAATTTCATCTTCATGTTAAGAATAATTTATTCTTACTAAACGCAGCCAGCTTAAGAAATTTTTAAAAAGCACCATGATAAAGAACTGATCCAATAAATTGTCAATAAAGAATTTATAAGAGGAAGATGATAGCTCACCTGGTTGACTTCCATAGCATAATATCTGATTGCCTATCTGCTTAACAACCAAACCAATAAACAGAGCATCTGATCACCGATCTAGCATCACCTTTTACCCAAAAGAAGGGAGAGGTAATGTGCAAGCAACGAGCAATTAGCAGGGCAGAAGCGAGCTAGCTGGATAAAATAAAACAATATTAGGCAAACTATATTTGATGCTATAAAACAATATTAAGTAACAGTGAGACTTCATAAACACCAAATATATTATTATAATGTATCTACTTAAAGGGTGCTGGCAGGCTTCTCTATGATCATACGAACACACACAAAAAAGAAAAAAAAATACATGAGGATGAAGCAATACTATAATTATCAAACTAATAAGGCCAAGCTTCCCAACTACCTAATTTCTTTCTAACTTGAAGAATTTCTAGGTATAAAGATAACTTCATTATGGTTATAATCAGATACCCCCAACAGAATCAGAACTGAAACAAAACCAAAAGTGAAGCTCAAATTTTAGAGAAAGCTGCTTAGAGAAAAAAAAAAAACTCAACGAGGAAATTACAAAATTGAAAGGGGAAAAACCGGAAAGAGAGCATACAGTGGTTTCAACGAGCTTGTTGAAACACTGGAAAGGGCCGGAACGGCGGCCGATCCAGGACGTTGATTGAACGTTGTTGATCTCTCGCAATGCGAAGGCTCCATGGTGATCGCGGTGAGTCTGGAACTTCAACACATGACCATCGTAGAGTTCCAAAATTGAAGAAACCTCCCCCCGTTTTCTGTCGATTTTGACCCATCCTCAGATTCGGTTGAGAATGGATTGATTAGCATGTTTTGAAGCTGACTTCTGCACCATTCATAATCAATGAACGGGCTGAAATCTTGCCGATCCCGTCTTCTGATTTAATCGGAGTAGTCATCACCTCCTATTGGCGCGATAGTGAGACGAGAAGGGGAAAAATCCGCTTGGATCTTCGTCTGAATTTTGGTAGCTACTTTTATTCAATTGATGGTGATGGGTTAGGTTGGGGGAGGGGGCGGCAATCAAGATATATTCAGGGCTAAAAATATTCAGGGCTTTTTACTAAAATATTTCGGGGTTTTAAGGGAAAACAGCAAAGAAGTTATTTTTGAATTTATAATTTTACCCCTAGTTTTGAGGTGGAGGGTTTTCCATCAAAAGTTTAAAGCTTCCGGAATTTTTATATAAACCCCGCGAAACGACATCGTTTTGGGAGTGGGGGATTTTTTATTAAAAGCTTCCTGTTTTAAATTTAAAATTTAGTGAGGAACTGTATTTATGAAATTTCGATTTTGTCCTTAATAAGTCGCTGACATCATATCAACTCCATCCGACGGACGAGATTGCTTTGAAGGTGGCCCTGAATATTTCTTGGGCATTTAATTTCTTGCCTACTGTGCCTTTATATTAAGTATAAGGATAAGGACTAATGAATTCTTTACAAAGAAAAAAAAATTGGATCTACAGAGCTTAGATCTATGAAACACATCATCAACTAGTATAAAATACAAAACTTTTAAGAGATATGTATTACCTCTGAGCCATCTGGGGTTTTTTTTTACATGTTTTTCTTCGAAGAACTCAGATTATGGCTTTATGATTGCTTTTCTCCGAAGAAGAATTGCTTTTTCTATCATTTTACATGAATTTGTAGATCTGAAATTTATTTTTTCCACTAGCAGATCTGAATCCGACGATTCACCGTATGGATTCGAACTGCAGATCTAAAACATGGAACATAGGTTTAGAGAATTTCAAACGAGATTCACTGGTTTAATTTTTGAACGGCAAATCTAAATCAAAAATTTGAAGAATTTGTGAATCGGAGAATATTGGAAGAAGGTTACGAAAAAGTACTGAAAAAAAGAGAAAAACTCAATATTATTGGGTATTTATATTTTTTTGTTATGAGAATTTAAAAATTAAATTGAGGTGTTTTTTTTGGAGCGTGAAACACAGGCTAGGAGCACCATATTAGGATTAACTGGGGTAAAATGTGCACTTGATTTTTTTTTTAAATAAATAAATTAAAATGACCAAATTAAACTAGTGCAATGTGAACCTTATAATTGGAGAATCGACTTATCTCTTACAATGAAGTAATTTATCTCATCTTATATGCATTACAGTTCAATATCATTATATATGCAACAACATTTCGAAGATTATTTGTACGTACCACTTAAAATGTGAACTAAATCAAGCTATTCTCAATACACGACAATTGAAAATAAAGAATTCATCAATCAGTGGAAATTATACACCAAATCAAATAAAATAAAATCGAAATCGATCTAGAAGAAACTAGCGAAAACCACAATAGCTAATAATAAGCCGAGGAAGTGTCTTTGGGAGCCTCCAATTTTTTGTGCATTTCCACTTGGAGTAGATGAAGGACTTGATGACAATCCTTCAGGGGGGGATGCTGTACCTCCTAGTAGGGGGAAAAAAAAGGATAAATCATTATATTAATTAATTTTAGAAGAAGAAAAATAAGGAGTATAAATAATCTACTTAAAAAGATTTGAGGAAAATAAATGGTTAAATGGTTACCAGATGATGGTTCCGGTGCACTGTCACCGGCAGGAGAGAGAGCTGGAGCAGCAATAGGTACACCTAGAACTGTAAAAGTTTATGTTTAAGAGAAAAATTATTAGTAAATTATCAAAATGGGAAGGGATTAAATAAAAGAGAAAATGAAATTCAAAGACTCTTTTAATTTCTAGGTGTGAAACATACTAATTTTAAAGCAATAACACCCGTCAAAGCTACAACTCCAAACAAGACTTGCATTAAAAAGGTTCACATTTTCTGGTCCAAAGGTCTAACCCTAATTAGACTGGCATCTAAAGTTTTCTTTTTTTCCTATTTTCCAACTTTCATTTTCTAGCAATTTAATTCTCCATCAGTAATTTAAGATGTGTCGATTTATTTTGTTGTCTTGTCGAATGTTTTTCTTTTACAGATTTTTTTACTTTCTTACATTTAATTTATAAAACGCAAATGCAAAAACGTAGTAACAAATACGACTGGAAACTTTCTTCTCCTTGTTGGGTTCTTTACATTTCCAACTAGTAATATTTTTTTTTTCTTTTTCAACGTTAAAAAAAAAACGTACATAAGCCAGGACCACAAATAATTATATGTATTCATCAACATTCAGAGAAAAGAAAACCCTAAAAAAAAAAAAACAAAATGGCTGTCAAATTAGGGTGCTATTTATGAGGGGTCATTGGTTGCACGTGATGATACCAGAAATGGTGTAATTACGTTGTCTCAACCAGAAGCTACGATCATAATTAATAATTTCGGTGCCAACTATATTGTAGTAGTAACAATTATAATAAAATGTACTAGTAATAATTAAAAATTGTTAATACAACTGACCATAATAAATGAACAATTTTTTATTTTGTGACCAAAATGCAGGTTTCTTACACTCAAACGTAGGAGAGTTATTCAAAAAAAAAAAAAAAAAAACCCGTTGGAGAGAAACCAAGTTGGACATGAAATAGCTAGAATGCAAAGCTCAAAATTATACTCACTCCATCTCAAGAGAAGTTGGTGTATATGATAACACGAATTAAAATTGAGTACTCGTTCTGGACTCATAAATTATTTAATTTTAAGAGCAAAAAAACCTTCAGAAACTTCAGAAATCTTATAAGCCTTATAAATAAACAATTTCCCTGGACAAGATCCACTAAAAAAATCTGAACAGCTAAATCAAAGGGGTTACCTCTTCTCCCTACCTACCCATTCATATGGGGACCCCTTTTCCCTTTTCTAAGATGATTTGTTATAAATTAAACTAAAATTTTCCATATGTATTTTCGTATCTGAAATGCTTATATGTGTATACAAAAAAATAATCATGTGTGGTTTTTTTTTTTTTTTTGTTGTTTTTTCATCCATTGTGTAAGAAAATGTCTTGAAAATGTTTTTAATTTTTTATTTTTGGAAATTACACACACAAGTTCAATTAACCTGATTCAATGTTGGTATTTTTTCTGAACTATTACATCTAATTTTGACTTACAAGATCAAGAAAACTGCCAAATTTTTATTTCTTAAAAGAGATATTTTTCAAGAAGAGAAGGTTCCAAATTTGTCTGTAATAACAGAATTACAGAAGATGAAAACTCCTTATTTTAGGATGAAAATAATATGGATTTTTTGCCCCTAACTTAATAGAGAAATGCCAAATTACAAAGTTTTAGTAAAGAAAAAAAAAAGGACCCATCTTCATTGTACAAGATCTATGCAAAATTATGAATACTTATTTAAAAAAAAAAAATTTAAAGATTAATGTAAAAGACTAATGTAATTGTAAGAAGAAAAAAACTTACGTGAACAACCACTGGCTGGGGTAAAAGGCAAATCAATCTTACAAACGGAAGGCAAACCAAAAGCTCTGGGAACATCAATCGGGATGGGAGACTGATCCGGATGGGCCAGCAATTCACACAAACAAATGGGCTGATCATTCACCAAATTCTTCACTTCCGGGCAGCATGGCTTTTCCGGTTTGGTCAAGTTGCTTCCTTGTTGCACATAACTCAAGCAATCCGACAGGTTCAGCAAGTACGCCATGCAATCCGGTCCCGGTGCCGGCGCCGGTTCCGCCATCGGAGACACTACCGGTGCCGCCACCGGCGCCGACATCGGCGACTGAGCTGCTGCCGCCAAAATGGAAGCTGCCATGACTAGTACTACTACTAGTGAGGATGTTGAATAACTTTTTTTGTAATTGGGATTTTTAGCCATATTTTTGCTTTTTTTTTTTTGGGAGATGATGTAGTCCTTTTCCGGCCCTCCTTTGAAATATTTTTGTGTTAAGAATTTTAGCAATGAATGAATTATGGAGATGGAGATGGAGGGACTCGGGAAGTGGGAAATGATTGTTATATATATACTAGTTGAAAGATCAGAATGGGGTCAAGAGAGAGGGATATCATATCATTGCTTATGTTTGAATTATTTATCTCCATCTCAAAATGATTTAAGTACTACATTTACTTTATCAGTATAAGGAAAAAAAAAAAGTTCGAACAAAAACATATAAATTTTACAATATCATCCGTGTTGTGAGTGAATATGTTATATGCATGTACGTATTGAAGTGAACCAGGCAAAGGGGAGAAAGCCGGCTCAATCAGCTCCATAATTTACGGTACAAATTTCTATCTATGGTAAAAAGATAAACTACAAATATTTGTCATAATATTTACATCGTAATATCCCCCTCAAGTTAGAGCATGCAAATTACGAATGCCCAACTTGCCAATGAAAAAAATCAAACTGTGGTTTTTTCAAAACCTTAGTGAAAATGTTTGCAAGTTGCACATGAGTAGACACATAACTTGGAAGGATAGTACATTTCAAAATTTCATCCCGAACAAAATGACAATCGACTTCGATATGTTTGGTGCGCTCATGAAAAACATGATTTGCTGCAATATGTAAAGCAGCCTGGCTGTCACAATAAAAACGAATAGGATGAGGGTGTGAGATGCCAAGAAACTGTAATAACCCCTTCAACCACTTGAGCTCGCAAACAGTAGAAGCCATAGAACGATATTCAGCTTCAGTCGACGAACGAGAAACTGTCTGCTGTTTCTTCATCTTCCATGAAACAGGAGAAGTACCCAACTGAACAAACCAACTAGTAAGAGAGCGTCGAGTCAACGGACAACTGGCCCAGTCAGAGTCACACCAGCCAGATAACTGAAGATCCGAGTCAGCTCGTAAAAGAATTCCCTGGCCAGGATTGTCCTTGAGAAAACAAACAACTCGGAGAGCGGCATCCCAATGAGCCTAACGCTGCATAATCTGGGCAAGAGTATGAACATAATAAAATAGCTCAGGACGAGTAACAACAAGATAAATCAAATGCCAACTAAACGTTGATAAGATTCGGTATGTGGAAAAGGATCCTCAGTAACCAACGAGAGATTCTGGTTTTGCTCCAAAGGAAAACCAGCAGGCTTGACTCCCAACAGTCACCTCAGAGATAATGTACAAGGCATACTTACGTTGACACAGAAAAATGTTAGAGGAATTACGAGCAACCTCAATGCCTAAAAAATATTTAAGGACACCAAGATCCTTCATGTGAAAGCACCTGCTCAAGTAATCCTTAAAGGGCTGTATAGCCAAACTATAATTTCCAGAAATAATCAAATCATCAACATAAACCAAAACAGTGAGCTGCGTAGTGTCACGACGGAAGACAAAGAGGGAATAATCAGAAGAAAACTGCTGAAAACCATATTGGCGTAAGGCACTAGCCAACTTGGCAAACCAACAACGAGGCGCCTTCAAACCATAAAGAGAGCGACGAAGGCGACATACAGAACCTGGATTGGCAGAACGAAACCCAGGAGGTAATATCACATATACTTCCTCAGCCAGATCACCTTGCAAGAAGGCGTTGTGAACGTCCATCTGATGAAGTTCCCAACCCTTAGCAGCAGCCACAGTGAGTAAGGTGCGAACTGTGACCATCTTCACAACAGGAGCAAATGTCTCATTGTAGTAAAGACCCTTAATCTGATTGTTGCCTAAGATTACCAAACGGGCTTTATACCTCTCGATGGAGCCATCAGAATGGTACTTAATCTTGAACACCCACTTGCAATCAATTACGTGTTTTCCAGGGGGAAGAGAGGTAACAGTCCAAGTACCATTCTGTTCTAATGCCTGAATCTCTTGTTTCATAGCAAGATGCCACTTAGAATCCTTAGCAGCCTCCGAAAAACTCCGAGGTTCAATGCCTGCAGTAACACTAGCCAGAAAAGCACAATGGTTTGGAGAAAATAAAGCACAAGAGACATAATTGTGTATGGGATAGGACGCACCTGAGAAAACTGAAGTAGCGGATGTGACAGGAGAGGGGCTTAATGCAGTAATAGTGTGGGATGCAAAATCACGCAGTCGAGTAGAACGGTTTTTGATGCGATGCCCACGGCCCAGAAGCTCTTCCTGTTGTTCAGAAGTAGGACCCCCCTGACAGGCGGGGGGGAAAGAGAGGACACAGGTGCAGAAGAACTAGAAGAAGTTATAGAAACTGGATTAGAAAACAGAACATGATTAGTCTCCACAATAGAATCAGAAAGATCATCATCAGCAAGAACATGTGAAAACTCAAATTGGGAAGATGGAACTGAATCCGAAGCCATAGAAATAGAAGGAAACTTAGACTCTAAAAACACAACATCACGAGAAACTAGATATTCACCAGTGTCTAACTCATAAACACGCCAACCCTTTTTGCCATAGGGATAGCCCACAAACAAACATTTTCGACTGCGACTGGAGAACTTATCATTATGACAATTTTGATTATGCACATAACATAGACATCCAAAAACTCTTAAATGATCCAGAGAAGGAGGCTTGCCACACAAAAGCTCACAAGGGGTTTTTCCATTTAGAAGGTAAGTGAGAGTACGATTAATTATGTACCCAGCAGCTAACACACATTCACCCCAAAACTCAATAGGAAGATGAGCTTGAAACTGTAAAGCACGAGCCACATTCAAAATATGCCTACGTATACGTTCAATACGACCATTTTGCTGGGGAGTCCCCACAAAGGAGGTTTCATGCACAATGCCATGTTGAAGGAAAAAATCACTCCAACACATAAACTCTGTCTCATTATCACTACGAAGATGCTTGACCAATTTACCATGCTGACGTTCAACCATAGCAAAGAAATTATGGAGTTTCAAAGAAACATCACTTTTATCATTCAACAAATAAATTCACGCAGCATGGGAAAAATCATCAAACAACAGTCAAAAAATAACGAGCACCCAAAAAAGAGGGACCTAGATATGGACCCCACAAATCACAATGAATTAACTCAAATAGGTCTGAAGTCTGAGTATTACTAATAGGAAATAAAGGTCGAGACTGATTGGCACTAAAACACACATCACAGGCCTTATTATGAAAACAACTAATATCTTTGGAAGAGCCTACACTAGGAAGCAACGCTAGAACCTTAGCAGATGGATGGCCTAAACGTTGATGCCACAGCTCAAGTGAAGGAACCCCAGATGTTGTTGCAGCCATGAATGTCTCCACATCCCCGAAAAAATAAAGCCCCTCTCGTTGCTCACCCGCTCCAATCAGTGTCCTCGTAGTGGGGTCCTGAATAACACAAATATGAGAAGTAAAGTGAACAATAGAGGCAGTGTCTCTCAATAGCTGAGAAACAGAAATAAGGTGACATTTCAAACTCAGCACAAACAGAACATACTGCAAAGTTATTTTGGAACTAAGGACTACGGTACCCGCCTTGGTTGCTAAAGTATATTGACCATTCGGTAATTAAACCGATACACCAAGAATATCATACACAATCATAAAATAAGCAGGAACACCTGTCATATGATGGGAAGCACCGAAATTATACATCCAAGTATTACAAATACTCTTACCAGACAAATGAGTACTCCAATTAGACTTAGCCGTGTTCAATAATGAAAGAAGGGTTTGTCACTGGTCCGTATTCAACCCGGTTACAGCAGGTCTACCCGAACCGGCATCCACCGAGTCACCCAAAGAAGGCAGCATGAGAGAATTGGTCGAAGCAGTCGACTGAACCAGACCACCCGAACCTGTACCAATCGGGTTTTTGTTGTCGCGCCCAGAACCACCGGCGCCGCGACCACGCCCACGGCCGGCACCACGCCCATGGGGCTGCCAACCTGCCGGATATCCTACAAGCTTGTAACAAGTGGAGATGTCGTGGTTGGGTCGGTTGTAATGGCTGCAAAATAAGGCTTGGCCGCCGCCAGAACCACCCGACGGAAGAGCAGCACCACGACCGGAATTTGTGGTGGTGACAGAAACCGCCATAGGCGCCGCATCAAAAGCAGCACCAGCCGGAGCCAAAGAGACAGGAGCAGTCACAGCAAAGCTCATCGTCTCTGGCGGATTTTCACTGGTGTGAGACATCGATCGCAAACGTTTCTCCCGAATGATGGTAGAATACACTTTACTCAACTTCGGAAGTGGTTCCTAAGCCAACAAATTAGAGCGGTGAGTAGAATAAACCGCATCATCCAACCCTAACAAGAATTGGTGTACCTTTTCTTCCTCCAGTTTCTTCTCGGCGATGGCAGATAACCCAGACGAACAGCCGCCGTAGGAACATGGAGGAAGAGCATCGTGCGAAGCCAGTTCTTCCCAAAGCAGCTTCACCGGCCATATTAGGTGACGATACTCAGACCTTTCTGACGGCAATTGGCCAAGTCTAATTTCAATTGCTGAATTATGGGACGATTAACAATTGAGAAGCGTTCTTGAAGGTCCAGCCACAAGTCGTGAGCAACATCAGTGTGAGAGATGGTTGATCGGAGAGATGGCTCGATAGTGTTGAGAATCCACGACACTAGAAGAGCATTGATTGGTCCCTAATCTTCAGCATCAGGCGAAGAATCGGCCGGCTGCGAAATCGTGCCTTCAACAAATCTAAATTTTTTCCTGGCGCGAATAGCCGTTTTGATAGCGTTGAACCATTCAGCGAAATTGCTGTCACCACGTAATTGCACCGTTGTGATCATGTTGCCTGGGATTCGCTGGCGGAAATGTCGAATGGAGAAATCCTCCGCCAGCAAGAGACACCATCACTGCCGTCAACAGTCTGTTGCTTGACACCGGAGGATTGAGGAGTCTCCGTGTTCGTCATGATCAGACAGAAAGAAAAATAAAGAACAACAAGAAGATCACGGATCGATCAATTTGATCCCGCTCTGATACCATGAAGTGAACCAGGCAAAGGGAAAAAAACCTGCTCAAAAATTATGCGCCATCTGTATATTGCACTAGGGTTATATTGTACAAGGAGCGTAACTCAATCAACTCCCTAATTTACGGTACAAATCTCTATCTATGGTAAAGAGATAAACTACAATATTTTGACCATAATATTTACATCGTAATACATATCATATTTAGATTAGTCTTTATTTGATTTGATTTCAATTTCTTAGAACGCTAATTTAGTAAAATCATCTATA